GCCCCGGGCCGGGGGCCGAGGGAAGCCCGCCCCGGGCAGAGGGCCGCGACGGCTCGCCCAGGGCAGGGGGCCGAGGGCAGCCCGCCTAAAAGTATTTTCTAATACTGTCTTTCTGGATGCAAAAATCTGAGCTAAATTTTGTTTTAATTTTGTAGTTATTCATATGCATTGTATTTCATGGATTTACATTGTTTTATATAATGATATACAATTGATCAATGCCTTTTATTACCCTGTTTTTTCAAGTCACCATTGTATCTTATATATATATTCCTTCATAAACTCGACAGTATGTCTGCCCTAGTAATTCCTCTCCATTTTTCTTCCTTTTTTCTTCCCTTCTTTTTCTTTGTTATAGGTTTCTTCACTAAATTATTATTTCTGCAATAACTTCATGGTTACTAATTTTTGACTTCTCATTTTATCTTCTGTCAGTAATTTGAAAGAATTGGGTGGTATCTGTTTACAAAAGCGTATGTCAAGTGGATGAGTAATCTTTCAGACAATAGAAAGGGATGTGTTTAAATGGCCCAGTTCAGAGAGTCACCATCTTAGTAACATGTTCTGAGTTCAGCCACAACAGTATCTTCTTCATACATGTTGATAGGTCTCTAAATATTTATATTGTTTTATAATATGTAATATTTAATGACTATAAGGCAGCTTTTTAAAACACCTTCCTTACCGCCCCTGATGTGATGATATAGCAAGTATGATGTTGTTATGTGCTGTCCTTAACCAGTAGGCCAACAGAGCTCCATGTCATGGTCTTGAAAGTATTCATAAATTATTGAGTATGTTTTGAGCATTCCTCTCAGGCACTAAAGAACAACATGTAACAGTTGTATCTGCTTCTCATTTTCCTTGTTTCTTTCATTCAGACTTTAAATATACATTGTCTTGTTCCAACCCCCTGAATCTTACTTAACTTTCTCTTTATGTTAATAGCACTCTCAAGGGAACACTAGAAAAATTGGTTCTAGTTAATTTTTTTTTTGCCCCTTTGACCAATTATGATGTAACTTCATCACAAATCTGACGGAAACTTATTTCTCCTAATAATTTGAAAGATTAGAACTATAATCTTCATATGACTAGGTTAAATATAATGGGGCATATCTTTCATCTCTTTATCCAAGCATGGTTTTCCTCTTTTTGAGTGCTTGTTAATGTTGAACATTTGCCTTGAGACACTCAGTGTCTGACATTTGCACTACTGTTCTTTGAACATCCATGGTGTGTGCCCAGCACATTTTAGGAAGCTTTCACAGAGTATGAGAAGAATAACTTACAAATGTAAAATTTACTTTTGCATTAATACTTGCCTAGTTGGGTGTTGCTAAATATTTATTTACATTTCCATAATAGTCACTGTATATTAAAATTGCATTACTTTCTCCAGTTTCCAGGTGGGAGATTTGGTACTCATCATCCTAGATGAACGCCATGACAATTATGTATTATTTACTGTTAGCCCTACTTTATACTTTCTGCATTCAGAGTCTCTACCTGGCCTGGATCTCAAACCAGGTGAGGGTGGTAAGTGTCACATTCAAAATTACATAATAAACCTTGAGTAAATATCTTTAAGATATTTCTTCTGTGTTATAAAGTTGTATATATTACTTTGGTTTCTATTTAAATTCTACTGACATTTGGAAATTCAGAGTATAGATCCATGTAATAGATCTGTTGATCTGAATATTTAATTGACTAAGGATTGAATTGACAAAGATTAAAAAAATAAACACGCTCCCATCAAATCAATTCCGATTCATACTGACCCTCCATCAGGTTTCCAAGGCTGCAGATCTTTAAGGCAGGAGACTGCCCATCTTTCTCCCGTGGAGCAGCTGATGGACTTGAATCACTAACCAACATGCATTACTTTGCTTCACCAAAAATAACTTCTAGCACTAGTAGAATTATATGAGAATTATTAGTCCATTTTAATAAATGTTCTGTTTTATCATCCTTTGGTTTTTCATTATCCAGTACTTGTATTTTGTCTCAAGGCTGTGAATTTTATTTAAATTAAATACAAATGTCTGTTATCCTTTTTCTTTTTAAGGAATCAAAGAGAAAACAAAATTATTTGCATCATAGACTGTCAGCTCATTTGAACTCATCACCAAGATAACTTACGTTATCTTGTCTCCTGAGTGATTCTGTATTTTTCAAACTCTCTTCCTTCAACACAAGATAATAAATGTCTAGCGGAGTTAAGTCTTGTCCATAAAACCTATTGCTGCTCTCTCCTATCCTCCCAAGGACTTCAAACCAGAGATGGCTCCTTGGGAGTATGCTAATCAGGGTTACCCTAAGGGTGTGTATATTATCAGGATGTTTTAATGCCTTTGATAGTGAGACTCAATATGGAATATATCCCTCTTACTTTCCAGGTGCCAGTCAAATACTTCATTTTAAGAGGACTCCTTTCAGTCCTTAGAAATTGACTGGGAAATGCTGTTGAGAATATTTTCCACATGCTGTGGTATAAGGGTTTTATCTATCTTGTGAAAATATCTGTATATTTCAGTTATATATCTGTATATATCAGTTATATTGTTTAAAAAAATACATTTCCCACCCCCAGATATATTTTGTATTTTGCTACATTTATGTAGTAAGGTGTGTTTAATACTTCTGATGAGAACCTTAACCATTTCATGCTAAACAAAATAATAATTTCTTGAATTCCTCTTCTGATAAACTTAAAAAGAGAATGAGTATGTCTTCTTAGCTTTTCACATGATTTTTCATGCAAGCATCCTTTCATTCAAGCACAATCCTTTTTTATTTTTGTAGTTCTTTATCTTCACTTATGTATTCATTAGGCATGCACTCTGCTCACATGGAACTCTAGTGGCATAATGGCTCAGCTGCTAATGAAAGGTCTGTAATTCAAACCCCACAGCATCTCCAGAGGACATATAACTGTGGCAATCAGCTTCTGGAAAGATTGTTGTTGTTTTGTGCTGTCATTTAGAAACTACAGTTCATAGTGACCCTATGAACAATAAATTATAGCCTTGGTAACTCTAGAAAACAAGTCATCTCTGTGCAATGGAACTCTTAAGAGTCAGAATATATATTAACTGTCCCTATACTGCTGTAGCAGGCACTGTTGAGTACAAACTTGTGAAAGATTTTGCTCCTTCCTTTGAAGACATGTTTCAAACATTATTTTCCAAATAACTATGTTTTACTTGGAACCTAAGAGAATAATTTTTTTTTTCTTTTTTTTTTTAATAACTTTGCAGATCTGGGAAAAGTCATTTTTGTGTCTTCTTTCAGTAGATGGCACTATTGAGTTAGCTTAGAATTCCTAGATTTCTTTGTTCATTTGTGTATATTAGATTATTAATATTTCTTGAACTTTGTCTATACTTTTATATTCTATCTATATTTAGTTGAGAGGGGTAAAATCTATGGTTGAAAATTAATTATATTACATACAGCTATGCATTTCAGTTTCAGCAGTTTCAAAAGTGCTAAAGTAATTAAAGTGTTACTTTAATTCAATAATCTTTTAAAATAAATTTTAACAATTTGATTCATCAGCTTCAGGTGCATCTAGAAGACCCTGGGTACTTGGAAAAGTAATGGAAAAGGAATATTGCCAAGCAAAGAAGGTAAAACAAATGAGAGCATATGTGCTGTCAAACTATAAATTCTAGAAAAGAGAATCATACTGCTTTTTATATAGGAATTGTTGTGCTGTGGGCAGAGCTTAAATTTCATTAAATTCAGACCATCAATTTCATAAGTTGTCTGTAGACATTAGAATAAATTATCAACAATCTAACCCTGCTAATATATAACTGATGACTATGAAAGTAAAATATTTTCAGTAAGTAGACTTGATACTTTAATAACTTACCCCTGCTGAATAACAATGTAAAGAGAAAAAAAATACACCTGATATTAATATACCATAGAATTAGTAAAAGCGACTACACAATTTTCCCACCTTCCTTGTCATTCTAGTCTTTAGAGTAAGACATTAAGATTATGTAAAGCTGTATTATTTAGATTTATTTGATATTGATGATTATCAACTTCCATTAATAGTTGTAGCTAAATATTCTCATATGGTCACGCTTCAGTTTTGTGTAATTTGATAAAGTTTCCTGACAGAGGGATATTTGTGTAATTTGGTTTAGTCATTTAAGTGATTTTATTTCCTTTTCCTTCTAGGCACAAAACCGATTTAAAGTTCCTTTGGGGACAAAGTTTTATAGAGTGAAAGCGGTGTCCTGGAATAAGAAAGTTTAATAGAAGAAATTAATAACATTTTTGACCCGTCTTACAGCATCATTTATCACTCCCAAAACAGGCCATCCTTTTATACAGAGTCAGCGTGACAGTACTCTTCCTTGATGTACAACATTGACTTTTTAACTGGCTACATTTAGCAACAATAAATTCATCAGACTCTTGGCTGAATTAAAATGGTTTTATTTTGGGTTTTTGTTTGGTTTTGGTTTTATTTTTTTTAAACCCAGATAATTCTAGAAATGCGGACCAAACTAGTTCATTTTCTCAAAGGGCATACATACCCTGTGCATTATGGCTTGTAATTAGCCATATTAATTGCCTGTTAAATATACATTAGCTTGAACTTAGATGTTAAATGTTAGTTATTATTACCAGCATTTGTCCTTTTGTGAAGCCAGTATCAGATAACTTGCACTCTTTAACACATTCTTTATAAAATGTTTAAATTCTTTAAAACTATTTAAAGAGGAGTATTATCATGCATGCAGATAATCATACTTTTGAGTTTGCCTCTGTAGATTACTAAAGCAAATTGTTTCATTTTTTTTTTAAATGCCCTGTGGTGTTTAAAAAAGGAACTGTGTAATTTGATTGACTGATTTTTTTAAGGTCAGCCATATGTAAATTATCAGCAGTCTTTAAAAGCACTTTTCAGTGGTTGGTCATCTGGGTTCTAAAGGGAAGTGTCAAATGTCTGTGCCATTGACAGTTTCAAATGAAACACTCAAACCTTCCCAACTTGTTTATTACTCTATTTAGAATAATCATATTGATGAAATTGTAATTCATGGTTGAGTTTCAGGAAAAACACATGTTCATTGTATATTAACCATATAGAGGTCATTTAAATAACAAAATATTGTATTGTAAAAGACATGTAGAATTTTAAAACAATAAAGATTTGAACCTGTAAATGTGTGTGCCTTGTAAAGAAGCATACATTTTCGGTACATTTGAGTCACTGCTGAGAAGTGTTAAATTGTTATATATCATATCCAAGAGAAACGTTTATTACAAAAATGTTCCTTAATTATGTATTATATATAACAGGATAAAGCAGTACTAACTGTAATAGAATTGTATAAGCTAGATTGGGAGAAAACAAGGGCATTTAAATGAGTTAGTAGAGTGAGATTTAAGTATGTTGCTAGAGAACAATAAAAAAAAATTTCTCTTTTTCCAGAAAATATTTCATTTCTTCACAAAACGGAAGTTAAATATTTTTTAAAATATGTATATCTAGGAGTACAGAAAATGGAATGAATACCATAGTGTATAGAAAATGGAATTTGACAAGCATATTCATGAATAAATGAAAAATTATTTCATATGTTTCTATTTAATCTTTCCATGATAGCATCTTCAATCAGAGGCTTCAAGAGCAAAAAATGATAAGCGTAGTAGTTGTAGAAGGTGTCTGTTTGAGCTCAAAACAATCTGCCAGATAATCTATTTTGTTTGACTCAATTGCTGACTTTTAAATGTGGTATGTAGTCTTTGTACTCTGGAATTCTAGTGTCTGATGCATGACGCCAACTCCATCATTTTGTTAATGCTGTTCATTACTCTTGGATATTGTTTTTCTTATATCTGTTCTTTTTCATTAAAAACCAAAGAGTGTCGTAATTTTCTTAAAAGAAAAATGAGACATGAAAATATAAGCTCTTTAATCATTAAAGGCAAAATGCCCAAGTTTCTATTCACAGTCTACTTTATGGCTAAAGGAGGTCTTATTAAGGTTAGGGTGACTTTGAAGGTTAAAGTCTAAATTTAAAGGACTTTAGACAATGTGAAAAATTAATAAGACTGAACAAAGAAAACATGATTCTTTTTGAGTTGGGATGTTGAATAGTGCTGAACATTCCAAGGGCTTCCAAAAGAACAAACAGATATGTCTTAGAGAAGGTGCAGCCAGAGTGCTATTTAGAAGGAATGTTGATGAAACTTAATCTCACATGTTTTGGGCATGTTGTCAGCAAAACAGAGGAAGCCCCTCAATGAGATGGATTGACAAAGTGTCTGCAGCAATGGGCTCAAGTGCATTGAAGATGCGGATGGCACAGGATAGACAGGTTCAAGCTTTTTTGTACAGCATCGCTATGAGTCCAGTAGCAACAGTGAAATCTAGGCCAGATGCTGATTGTGGAACAGACCATCAGCTACTCATATGCAAGTTCAAATTAAAGCTAAAATAGGTCAAATCATGCCCACAGGAATAAAAGTTTGTTCTTGAGTCTCTCCCCCCTGAATTAAAAAACCCAGCTCAGGGACAAATTTGAGGCCATTAACACTAATGAATGAAGACCAGAAGAGCTGTGGGGAAGATGCTAAAAAATATCATCCATGAAGATTGCAAAAGTTCATTACAAAAAAGGAGGAAGACCAAAATGAATGTCAGAAGAGGCTGAATATTGCACTAGAGTGTCAAGAAGCCAAAACGAAGGAAATCAAGAAGTTAAGGCACTGAATGGAAGATTTCAAAGGGCACCTTGTAAAGACAAGGAAAAGTATTACAGTGAAATGCACAAAGAAATGGAGTCAGAAAATCAAAAGGGTTGACAATGCTCTGTATTTCTTAAGATGAAGGAACTAAAGAACCAGTTCAGACTGTGAGTTACAATGCTTAAAGGTACTATGGGTAGAATATTGAATGATTAAGGAAGCTTAAAAAAATGTGGAAGGAGTATACAAAGTCACTGTACCAAAAAGAATTGGCTGACAGAATTTCAAGAACCGGCATAGAATCAAGAGGCAATGTTGATGGAGGAAGTTTAGCTGCTCTGAAGGATATGGCAAAAAAGTAAGCTCCAGGAATTGATGGAATACCTGTTGATACAGTTCAACAAACAGATGCTACCCTGGGTATGTTCACTAGAGTGTATTAAATCTGGAGAACACCTACCTGGCCAGTTGACTGGAAGAGATCCAAAAATCATCAAACAATTTCACCAGTATGACACACTAGCAAAATCCTGCTGGAGATTAACCAGAATTCCTCCCTCACCACATCCTCTCTAACATTTATTACTTGCTGCCCTGTCAAACTTTGCGACTGTTACTGGAGTGAGATGGCACCTCATTGTGGTTTTGATTTTCATCTCTCTTATTGCCAGTGATTTGGAGCATTTCATGTGTTTGTTTGCCATTTGAATTTTCTTCCTCTCTGAAAATTCTTTCCATGTCTTTTGCCCATTTTGTGATTGAGTTATCAGTCTTTTTCTTGTGGAGGCGTAAGAGTATTCTGTAAGCTTTTGTTATAAGACTCTTGTCTGAGATGGTATTACCAATTGTTTGTTCCCAGTCTGTAGGTTTTCTTTTCACCCTGTTAGAAAAAGTTTTTGATGCACGCATGGATTTAATCTTTTGACAGTCCCATACATCAATTTTATCCTCTTTAGATTGTGCATTTCTGGTTGTATTCGGCAATCTCTTGATAGCTTGGACTAGCGCTTCTAAGCTTAATCCCAGTTTGTCTCTATGAACGTTATGGTTTGGGGCTTTACTCCCAGGTCTCTGATCCACACTGAGTTTAATTTTATGTATGGTGTGAGATGTAGATCCTGTTTCAGCTTTCTGCAGGTGGAAGTCCAGTTCTGCCAGCACCATTTGTTGAAGAGGTTGTCATTTCCTCATATGATAGTTTTTATTTCCTTGTTGAATATCAATTGACTCTTATACATTGTTGGTGGGATTGTAAAATGGCACAACCATTCTGCAGTTTGGCACTTTCTCAAAAAGCTGAACAAAGAAATTCCAGATGACCCAGCTGTTCCACTTCTTGGAATATACCCTAAGAAAACAAGAACTGAGTCATAGACTGAGATTTGTACACCAAATTTCATAGCATTATTCACCATGACAAGAACATGGAAAGTCCAAAAGACAAACCACAAATGAATGAATTGAGAAATTTTGGTACAATCACACAATGGAATGCTATTCAGCACTCAGGAGCAATGATTTTGTAAATTTATTACATAACTTGGGAGGGATTAGAGAGCATTATGCTGAGGAAACTAACTCAGTCCCACAAGGATAAATATTGTATAAAACCTTTATTGTAGAATCAGTGTAAGGATCCAAGAGGGGTGGGAGAGGTTGGAAGCAGAGGGATGAGGGAGATTAATCATGGGGGTTGTACAAATTGATGGGAAGGGTGAGGTAAATTGAAAGAATTAGTTCTTGAAAACAATGTATTCGAATTTTGTAAATAAACTAGTGACGAGGGGAGGGGGCGATATTTACTAGAAATAACTGAAACAGTACATTGACAGAGAACTACTAGAAATACAAGCTGCATTTAGAAGAAGTTGTGGTACAAGAGACTTTGCCGCCAAGTCAGGTGGATCTTGGCAGAAAGCAGAGTACCAGAGAAATGTCTGTGTTTCATTAACTATGCACAGACATTCGACTTTCTGAGTCACAACAAATTGTGGCTAACTCTGAGGAAAATGAGAATCCCAGAATGCTTGATTGTGCTTACATGAAACCTGTGCTTACTTGGACAAGGAAACAGTCCTCAGAACACAGCAGGTAAACACCGATTCAAAATCAGGAAGAGAGTATGTCAGGAAAGTGTCCTGTCTCTACACCTTGTCAGTCTTTATACAGCATATACACAACCTTGTGTGCTGAAACAGAGGATGACCTAATGTGCTTGCTGCAGAAGGTCAAGGACTGTAATCTTCAGTATAGATTGAAGCTCAACGTCAAGAAGACAAATATTCTCACCACTAGTCAAGTTGGCAGCACCATTATCGAAAGGAGATTGAGATTGTTAACAATTCTAGCTTTCAGACCTTTAAGAATCAAATCCCTGTACACATCCAGAAATTTCACCAACAGGGTAAAAAGAGAAGCCACAGACTGGGAAAAAATAACTGGCAATGACATGTCAGATAAGGGACTTATATCTAGAATTTAACAACCCAGTTGAAAAATGGGCACAGGGTATGCTTCACCAGAGAGGACATTCAGATGCCCAACAAGCACATGAAGAAATGTTCAAAATCCCTAGCTCTAGAAAAGTTGCAAATCAAAACAACTATTCGATATCAACTCACCCCAGCCAGTAAGAATAGCAAAATTTAACAGAACAGCAAACAAATGCTGGTGAGGATGTGGAGAAACGGGAACCCTTATTCACTGTTGGTGGGAGTGTAAAATGGTGCAACCTCTATGGAAGGCTGTATGGAAAAAAAAGTTGCAAATAGAAATACCATTTGACTCAGCAATTCCACTACTGGGAATATACCCCAAAGAAACCATAACCGCCATTCAAGCATATATATGCAAATTCATGTTTATTGTGGCTTTGTTCACAATAGCAACAATTTGGAAACAACCTAAGT